GTCAACAACCACCCCAAACCCCGAAGCCAAACCAGCAAGCAATCGGGATCCACCAACTACGGCTCTGCCTGGGACGAGGAGCAAACAAAAGATATCCTAAACCTTACAGATGAGCTATCGCCACCCCCGGCTACCTTACTTGAACCAGAGGCACAAGGACCTGTTGACATCCAGCATTTAGAAACAACTGCAACCCTCTACCCTCCACCGACCGAATACCCATCAAGCCCACCCCCGGTGGCCAAACCCCTCTACAGTGACGTGCTTGGCTGTTACAATACTGAAACCCTCATCTCTGTCATGCCCCCTACCCATGACGATTTCCGCCGTGACCTATACCAATCCTTCGATGAAGAGAACTTAGGACAGGAGGAAGGTGAGGGGCCCAGCCGTGGAGAACTCATAGAGGAAGAGAGGGATGTGCGGTCAGCTATGGATGACCTGAAGGGAACCTTTCGAGCCCAGATGATCAAGGCCTACCGCTGCGACCCCCTCTACCACAAAGTTCTTGACAGTGGAAGGACCGGAGACCTAAGACTCTATGAGATCTCGGATGGAATGATATATGCCCCTACCCGATATGGCAACAAAGCCCTCTCTGTCCCTGACAGACACCTAGTGAATGGAAAAACCCTTCGGGAATACCTCATCAGCGAAATCCATGACAAAGGCCATGCTAGCGCTGACCAAAACCTCCATTATGCTTCAGAATACCTATACTGGCCGGAAATGCGTGACGATTTCAAGCACTATGCAAAGACCTGCGAAGAGTGCCAAAGGAATAAAGAACCAACGACCCTACCAGAAGGATATGCCCGAACTCTGAAGCTACCTGCTGACGTGTTTGAATCATATGCCATAGATTTCGCAGGACCCTTCAACAAATCTGGTGGATTTGACACTATCCTAGTAGCGCTGGACCGCTTCTTTGGATTTACCTGGCTCATACCCACCCTTGCAGCTTCAACCGCCCAAGATACAAGGGACCTATTGCGACGAAATGTCTTTACCCCTCATGGCCACCCTCTCTCAATTGTTACCGACGCAGATCCTAAGTTCACATCCAAGTTCTGGAGACAAACCTTAACCTCAATGGGAATAGAACACATCCTAGCCGCGCCAGGCCACCACCAAACGAATGGCCAAGTGGAGCGAAAGATCAGAGAAGTCAAGACAGGCCTTCGGAACATAATCAACAAGCGACAAAACAACTGGGAACCAGCACTCCCGGAAGCAGCAGCATACATCAATGCAATGTACTCTAGTACTATTGACACGGCCCCTTACAAAGCAATATATGGACGAAACTATCCCCTCTTACCTCGCACCTTATTCAAGGACTCTGCAGTACCGGCATCTGACAACCACCTCAATCAACACGAAGCCCTCCGGAATGATGCCTATCAGGCACTAAGAACAGCCCAATTCCGAAACACAACAAAGGCACAAAAGAAGCGGAGAGTACATCATGCCATACCCCCGGGTACCATGGTCATGGTACATGGAAACCTGTTTAGTCCTGAAACTGGCAGAAGCAAGAAACTCCAACCCCGCTGGCGAGGTCCTTTCAAAGTGCTGGAATTCGACAGCAATACCGAGAACTACACCATCAAGCTAGAAGGACGGATGTACCGGCGTGGCAAAGCAGTGGTGCATTCAACTACAGTTAGGAGATGGCACCCAAATGACGATAGCAGATTCCCGGGACGCAGCCACTCCCGACCAGCCCCGCTACTTATCCACAACCAGGAGGAATGGGAAGTGGAAGAGATACTTGACCATAGAAAGCGCTATGGAACCGATCAGTTCCTAATCAAATGGAAAGGTTATCCAGACTCGGAGAATAGCTGGGAGCCAGTGGATGGAATCGAGAATGCGATGGCCCTTGTGCATGAGTGGTGGGAAGCTAATATGCCCGGAGAACGACTACCACCCACCATCAACCATATAACGATAGCTTGGTCACCTACCTTACCCACCACACAACGAATATGCGAAGACCCTCCTACCAGACCGGATTTCTGGGCACCCTATGACGCAAACGAGTTTGAAAGCAGCAGTGACGAAGACCAAGCGATGGCAGATGTTATAGACACCTTTATCTAATAGCACGCCCCTATCCGAATACCTTAAAGATGGAAAACTATGAGGAACTGAATGTGAGGCTACGCCATCAGCTTGTGGGACTGTTGGTGGACCGCGGTGCTATCCTACTTGAAAACTACTTTGATACCCTTTTAGTTGATTACTGCCCGAATTGCAAAGACCTACTGGTGGAAGTATGGGAAAGAGCGGCAGGTATCCGCGATTACTGTGATTTTCATTTCCTTTATTCCAATTGTTTTTTGCAATTACGGACATGTGTGTTTTGTATTGGTGATGGGGATTGGGCACTCGCTGATGAAGAATATGGCGAGGATTTTTATGAGGATTTTGATTTTTGGGATTATTGATTTGTTTAAGTAAACAGATGTTTTGTTTTGGGGAATGTAACCGGAACTGGAGTTCAGTCCGTTCGGTTCCAGGATTTGTTTTATGTTTTGTTTTACATGTGGTTTCGAGTATCCTTTGATATTCAGTTTGTTTTATTTGTGGTTTCGAGGATCCTCTGATACTCAGTTTGTTTTATGTTTTGTTTTACTTGTGGTTTCGAGTATCCTATGATACTCAGTTTGTTTTATTTGTGGTTTCGAGTATCCTTTGATACTCAGTTTGTTTTACTTGTGGTTTCGAGTATCCTTTGATACTCAGTTTGTGTTATGGGTTGCTCACGGAGGATTTGGAAATCCGTCCATGCAGGACATGGACGAAGCTTGTATTTAAAGGCCGCTGAGTCCCTTAGAGGAACAGCAGACTTTGACGGATGGAGTATTTCTAATATACTTGGTTGAACGGTTACCTCTTCGAGTCCCTATTCTTTATATCTTTCTCTTGGAGCCTCCCTTAGTGCAGTACGCCCATAGGTTGTAGATCAACTTGTGCGCTACTCCTATTGTACCCGGAAGCGTGATTAGCACCCCGGTGCGAACACGTTACATTTTTCATGGTAACTGAAGGTGTTGGTAATTTTCCACAATGGATTGAAAGTAGCCTATGGTCTCATGCACATTTTGGAGTGCTCACACTATAGGTGAAAAAGGCATGAATTCTGTTGATGAATTTTCAATCTGCAGATGCAACATTCTCCAGCAAAATTTTCAACAGTGAATTTTGGCTTTCAGAAACTCTCCTAAAGTCTAGAAACTCTCGCATTAGGGTATATTCCTAGTGGAATAGATGTGTTGGTCAACAATAATCTATTTATTAAGAGAGTCTGCAGACATGAACTTGAATTATCACTCAGCATTTGCAGACCCATTGAATTTATATTGTTTCAATAGAAACAAAGCAACCCTTCCAACCAGGAAGTCTATCCGTCTGCCCAAAGAGTGGGGAGATGATAAACTCTGGTATAGGTTGGTGTGTAGAAGATATTATTTGAGGTAATGCTAGTGACATCTCCTACTCCCCAGCCCCTGGCATTTCAAGTGGTCTTCATATCAAGAAAACTGCCATACCCGAGATACTACACATTATTTTATCAAAGTAAATGCAAGATTCAGTAATGATTCTGATGCCCCCGGTGGTGCTGGTGCCCCTGAGTGATGCTTACATCACCTCTGGGCTACATGTTAGCTCTAAGGTGGGTGTAGAGATAAGGGAAGGTAAAAGAGTATACCTCTTGTGCATAGAGCCCAAGAGGGGGAATAAGAGTAGGCTAGGTCTGGTAAGTGCATATGAATTAATGCCCATCTGTAGCTGAGCATAAACATGCCTGTTCTCAATACCCCCCGGGGCACCATCATCTGCCTACCATAATGGGTAGACAAGCCCATCGTTTTGTCTTCCAGGGTGCTCTATTTGAGGAGTAATCTGCTATTCCTGCATCTGTAGCCTGGTGTTATGGAGGGAGAATTTTTGAACAAGATGCCGGTTTCCAGAGTTGAGCGCCCCGGTGAGGCAGGCTTTTCCCATCTGGGATCACTTCCTTTCCATAGTGGCACTGTGAGGAAGCGTTGCGACTTGGCTAGACATCAGCTGAGAATTGCAACACTGCATTCATCGCCCACTCCATATATCCCATGACAACCCCTGGAATTGATAGAGTAGGAGAATTGCAACTTTGGAGATCACCGATATCGGCCGATATAATTGTGGTTTAGTGAGACTCACTGAGCCCTACTTGCAGAATTCAACTAACGCGTGGGAGTGTCCACAGAACTGCCACACTGTGACTCCATGGATGCCAGATTCTGGGGCCTCCGAAAGTGGTGTTGGCAGGAGCACTGAAGCTGCTGATTAGAGTGGAATTTTGGCGGTTCTGTAGGTAAGATTTCAAATGTGGTCGAGAAGGTGGGAGGTCTCCGACAAGCTTCTGAGTGGCACACCCACACCTCTCTTATTGTTTGATCCTGACTGACTAGAAGGGCGGTTAGGGGATAACATTTCTGGCGCTGTGAAATAACAAGGTTGTGTAAAAAATGAGGCAGATGGGGGAAAATTTCATGGTGGTGATTTTTTTGGGCGTATCTGTCGGAGCCAATTCCACCCCTGGGACTTTCTGCTGTTGTATATTTCACCTGTGTCAAAGCCCTATGGTCAGCCCTTACGACCCTCGCTCTTGGGCCCGTTTTTGTAGAATAGAAAAATGAAGGTTGGCAGGTTTACAGTTCCTAGGGTTTCACTTTAGGTTGAGCCAGAGAGCGATTTTCTAGGCCGCTCGCATCGCTCCCTTCTCCCAGCTCAGTTGGGAAAATATCGACAGGGAGCCAACACGAAGTGACAAATGCCGTCGATAATTGGCGGGCAGAGGTGCGTTTCACGTCCTATCCATTTATTAACTTGACGCAAGCTTTCATTTGGGGAACTAATCATTTCTACAATAGCCCGATTCCACCCGACGCACTAACTGAAACACCTAGCAAAGATGATGCAGCCACAAGTGCGGCACCAGTGCTATTGGGCGGTGCTCTTGATAAAGCAACTCTACAGTACGACGTCTCCAATGAACACTCACAAAGTGTCAGTAGCCTACGCCAGCCTTATACTCCCTCTATACTCCTGGCACTAACTCAACTAGCAATCCCCATCCCCCGCAGTAACGCCTCTTCAGGATTTCCAACTCCAGCTCGCCAAAGCCAGGTTCGAAAAGGAAATTGCCATGATTCTAGCTCGAGCTCAGAATTCCCCCTTGGCGAAGTTGCCCAAGTTAAGATTGCCGACGCAGACGCCTGCTAATTCCCCCTCTGCCGCCGAATCCCGACGCAGAAGTAGGAAGAAGAGGAAGGAATTTGCACATCCACAGTTGGATAATCATGTCCCGAGAGAGGGAGAGAGTGTCATGGAGTCACTCGGGATTATTTGTTACTGTGTGGTGGGCATTTATGCATGTCTGCTTGAGATGTTTGGTGGTTTGATGATAGTTATTCTCCTGGATCCGGTTTCAGCGATGGTGACTTGTGGCGTCTTGTGGGGGGTGGTTGAGGTTGCGGGAATTGCTTGCGGTTGGTTGATGGAGAGGGTTCAATGGTGGTAGATGGTGGTTATATTCATTAATGGTGTAACCGGGAACATATTTAGAACCATTCTTTGCGCCTTTCTTACAATTTTCGCTAGGGTTGGGCCAAACCGAAACTGCCAAAATTCTAGAATCGCAAAATCTCCGGACCAACAGAAAAGGGGGCTTGCATGTACGGCATCCCTTCGCCGGACTAGCAGAAGCGCCGTCGGGACCACCTTCTACATGAAACGGCAGTATCACCCCGATCCAAGTTGGTTCTCTGCTTATCTTCGAGGTTAGAAACGCTTATCTGTAGGGCCGCTGTTAGAGGGTCAAGGTCGTGCCTCTTTAAGCCAAGTATTCCTTTGGCCTCCGGGCTAAGGTTCTGTAAGGTTCTGTGAAATTCGGAATACAAATTACAGGATTGGATCACTCCTGAGACCAGTTTTTGATGCTATTCTATCTACTAGCTTGACATACTAACTAGTATTATTCCATGCTGGCTTATACTATAGACACTGAGCTAAGCCCTTTGGTATTATGGCTTCGGCCGTGAATCTTCAATCCCAGGTGTAACATTGGACTCCCTGATAGGTATTATTCTATTCCCTAAATTTGGGCCTTCACACTGCTGTCCTTTACATTGCTGGTGTATCGGTGGTTCAGCACTCAATTCTTATCCTCAACCTGCATCACTGTATGGTGAGTCCGGTAAAAACTAATCAACGCACATTGCTCTAGCAGCACACCCCTACAGCTCCGTCCTCAATCCTAAGGGCCAGTTCTCTTATTGCAGTTTATCTTAATTCCTTGCTTGTTCCCGATCGACAGCCGGTGTTGAGTAAGGATACTAACACGGCCTGCAAGAGTGCTTACCCGTAATCGTAATCCCCAGGCAGCCGAGGATTTAGTGGGCACCAGAAAAAAACCGAATAGACCGTAGAGTTCCGGTTCCATACAAATGGTTTGCTGCAAAGAACTCTTCGGTACGTCCCAATGCCGTAAACCGGAGGCTTCCAGGCAGAATATTTCCGATCCTAAGTGAGTGAGCGAGAGGGCCAATCTGGGACTAGAAGACACCCCATTCAAGGATGAAATAGTACTGACGTTATTCCGGCTCTACTCCATTATCGGCTAGTGGTTCCTAGATGTGCACGGATGCCTGCCAAGATATCTTGAAAGCAGAAGAAGACATGTCCCTCGCAGGGGGATCGACTTCCTCAGGTACTCCGCACCCCCTGCACTGTAATAATGCGCCAGGTTCGTCCACCAAAAAGAGCTTGCACACCAGGACCGACTCTGGTGGAATACTGGCGTTTTCCGGTCATTCTCGCACTTTGACTAATACACTAGTCCAACCTCAATGCAGTTTAATAGCCAAACTTAGTATCCAAGATTTCGGATAAGCTAAACACCTCGGTCAGTGCAGGATATTCTCAAAAGTATAACAAGAGCGGATTTTGGGGGTCTCGCCACGTCTCTCCAATAATTCCTTCTTATACCATAGCCTTTGCAGCCCAGCTTTGAGTTTTACAGCATAAAAATACAGCTTCCCCAGAGGTTGAATTTCGTGGTCTCCAAGGCAGCACACCCTCTTCTGGGACTGTCCGGGCCCCAGCTTTCTATCAATATCTAGCACGATTTGGAGGATTGGTATCCATCGCCGCTCCAGGGATAGTGCTGTTTCTGTAGAGATCCTTGTCGGATCTACCCTCACCCAATAGAGTATCTTAATAATTTGTGCAACCCTCTGAGCACTCGTTAAAATCAAAGGCCTGTCCCCAGACTTTACCTATGTATTTCTAAACAGCCTCTACAGGCCGCTTCGCTTGTATGATAACGATTGAACTTGTGGTAACCGCTCAACACCGCTTGGGGCACTCGTTTTTTTGGTGCATTTTATTAGCGCACGATAGTCACCAACCTAACCCTCCGCCTGTTAAGGCGGCCCGGGAGAGCAGCTGGGGTATTGCAGTCGGCGGCTTTTCATTGTGGCGAGTATCGTAAGGAAGGCCCCCCTGAAGTTGAGGTATGTAGAGGAGGGGTGATCCGTTGAGAACAATGTAATACCTGAAGGTTCAAAGTGACAACGTGGGAATCAATTCAATCCACGGAACCCACGTTATCCGGTTGCTATGCTCAGCCAGGGCATTCAGGCTCACACCCCTGCACATGCGTCTTCTGGCACACAATGACGTAGGATCTTTGTTTGCCTATGTTTTGCCTATTCCTTTCTGTTGATATGAGGAATAGCTTTAGTTCGGGTCAAAAGATCACTTTTCAAACGGCGGGCGAGGGAGTTAGCGATGGGGAGGGAGGGATCACGCGGGGGGAAATAGAGACTCGGGTGTTACGGGGGGATCGTGTTTGCCTGCATACGAGCAGCCTTGCGCTTACTGTATCCCCTTGCCGGTCAAGCCAAGCAATTCCCGCAATTGCCATCATTACCATGGGACGAGAGAGTGTGATGAGACAACTTTGAAATTTGTATCCCTATTTTAAAGCAAAAGTGACCCCACCTACAAGTGCAATGACAGAGCTGGGAAGCTGAATGAAATGAAAAAAAAATTGACAACCAAGTAGTCCGAACACTACCGATCCCTGCAGTTTCCATCTCTCCCTCCCCATCGCCTCAGCTCAGGAAGGCATCAAGTTGACAAAGAACATCCTTCCTACTGACACTTTCGGAGGGGGTTTTCCCTCTTTTTTTTTTTTGAAAACCGAAAATACTATACCACTCCAGAGCAATAGAAATGAAAAACACCACCACTGTTTACTTGCCCCATTCGAACGACCGAATAGGAGGACGATTGTTTGCCTAAACGAGGGTCGAGTTTTTTATTCTGCCACTTTTTTTTTTTCCACTGGATGGGGAGGAGTGGTTAAACCAGCTGTTATGGTTTACCCATTAGCCACCAAGCCCTGGGTTGGAGAGAGAGGGGTGGGAAAACAATTTACCTGCGTGACTCCCTCTACAAGGAAGCCAGTGATAGGAGAATAGGCCCTAGTGATGTCGTCGTAGACATATAACGGGCGCTCCTGCATGATATTCGGAAGGTTGGACTTCGGAACGGTGGTGCGCACATAATGATAGTGCCAGAAAGGATAGTGCGCGTTTGGGGCGCGTTGGTAGACGTAGTATTTGGACATCTTTGTTGGTGGACGATTTGTGTTTTTGAGTGGGTTGAGTTTTTTTTTGGGTGATATGCGAAGGTGTTTGCGGAGAAGATTTCTGTGACGAGTTGATGCGGGGAGAGAGGGAAAGGAGGAAGGAGAGGAGGGAGGGGAGGGGATAAGAAGGGGAACTTGTTGGTGAACTATGTGGCCCGCGTGCGTGTGCGTGACTCGGGAGCCCCAAACAGGGCCAAACAAACTGTGTAGTAATACCGGCAGTAGGAGTTGAGCCCTGGCCATACAGAAGGATTCCGGTTTTGCGGTAGCTTACCCGCATCATGACAATCGTGGATGGGGAATTAATACACATTTACTGTGGAGATTGCTTATACAGTCCAAAAATTCGCCTGACCGCTAGCGTTGTACTGACACCCAATGGGGCTCAGAAACCTCGAATACTGTGGTGGATATATCACAATTCCACTTGCTATCGCGGAGGTGAAACCTCGTCTCCGAAGCATCTCCAAACCAGGATACAGTTGGGCAATACTGTTTCATACGACTTTCCGGAACCCTTTATACTACGCAGGAACCCTAAACTCCTTCTTGTTATGAGAGTGGCCATCAATTCGCAGCCTATCATAGCCTGCAAAGCCATCGGGCTCCCATCACCTGTCATGGCATGCATGATAGAGGAATTAGATGGTAATCCCACAAACACGCTATAACGCCTATCTAATGACATAAGTACCCTTCAGCTATGGCTACAATACACACACTTTCCTCAGACCTTATGCATGATCCCCCAGCCGAAAAGAATGCCCAAACTCTACGTCCGCCCCAGTTACGCTTTGTGCGCAATGGCGTGCCTAGTGACGCTACCCCCCAGGTGGAAATTCCCAACGTCACTACACCTGCAGATCAGGGTTTGGCAGGTGTCTGAGGAAAGGTTATCAGGGGGAACAAAAATGGAGAAACGTGTTTGATGGGTTCTTGACGAGAGTAGACTGCTCGGGTATTGGGTTGGTTTTCGAATGGCGCGGTTGGGAAACATTTATACGAGGCGAGTTGACGGCAATGGAGGGTGAGGGGTGTTTCTACTTTTAGACAGAGTAGCAGGAGTAGTGACATGCTTTTATTGCGGAGAGCCTTATCCATGCTAGGCTTCCTAGGACGGATATTTGGCGGATGGTTTGAAGCTGTTTCTAGAACGACACAATATTGGCCCTAGTCAGATCAGGCAGTCCTAACGAGCACTTCTGATGGAAACCGCTATTAGGGAGCTTTTGCTCGGCCCAGTACAGGAAAATTCCGTAGGCCACAACTTTGCCCTTCCTGTTAGTACAAACCATACCAGTATTTTGACAACCAAAGGTGCAATAAAAGACTTGTCATGACCGTCATATTCCAGAGTCGTTCCCAAAACAGCGAAAGGTCGAGCCACTGTGCACTAGCGCACGCTCGGAAAGGTAAACGACATTACTCTGTCGAAAGGGACAGCACAAGTGACGACTGCCTTAACAAAATCTTCCTACCGAGATCTCACGTCGTGATCCCGATCCCTGAACAGCCGAACTCCAGACAGAACATCTGAGCACGCCGACTTGTTTCGTTTCTATTTCGGGTTGATCCGAATGATATAGTGCTCATTCCGGGACCTGCCACAATTAGGAACAAACGAAATAGGGATGAAAGAGTCATTGCCGAGGCATTTAATCATCTCCACTGATCCATTGATTTTAGCACTCGGGGGAAAGGCAGTACAAACACAATTGGAATGGCAGTCCATCGCCATTGTATTCCAACTCCATTGGTGTCCGCATCTTCTGGTTTGCCTTCCTGCTCTTGTGTTCCCCCATTGAGAAATAGAAAAAATAGAAAAAATAGAAAATAGAATCGGTCAACACTCGCCGTTGAACGTTATATAAGTTCTTCTACCCTCGTCCCCCCTTGCCCTCATTTTCCTCCCCATCAGTGTCAGCCTCGCCCTCCGAATCGAAAAATCAAGATGGTAGAACGCCCTGCAACCGGATCTAGCTCCAAGGACCCCCCCCCTCCGAACCCTCCGGTTGGCCATTCCGAGCCCCCACCCAAGACGGATATCCTTCCTCTTCTGGTTCTGCAGCAAAGAGCTCTCTTCAGAACCCTTTCTGATGGCTTCGAAAAACTTCAAGGGCTAGTTGATGATAGAGATTCCCACAAGCAAAAAGGTCTTGAGAGCTTTTCCACCGCGTTGGGAGAGTTGAGTGATAGTGTTCAGGTGATCCGTTGCAGGATGGATGCGTTTATTGGGATAGCGAGTGAGGCTGGGTGTATCGATCTGGCAGTACCAAACGAACCTGGAGAAGGCGAGATATCCCCGCCCGTGCGGCCTTCCACAAGAGCGGAGCAGAACGGCTGGAGGAACTTTTCGAGACCTTTTCTGCGCGTTAGGGGGGCCGACATGCAGGACGAGAATTGCCATTCCGAACAGGATCGTGCCGCTTCAATTGCATCCCCTCGTGGCGGTACAATCTCGAAGACAGAGCGTAGTGTCCACTGCCCTGCTCTCCCATCACTGGGTAATTACACCGAACCGCCGAGCACATTCCAGGAGGGAGGGCTGCGGGAACCCAGGGATCCCGAGCACGACGGGACCTCTACTGTGCGAACTCGCCAGCCATCTTCCCCAAACACCCCATCGCTTAACCCCACATCAGAGAAGGGTGAGGGAAGACCCGTTACAGCGTTACCCAGAGTTTCCGTTCTCATCAATTCCCCTCTGGAGGGCTCCAATATAAGAAAGCAAGTTAAACGTGCTTCCAAAGTCCGAGACCCGTGCTTCAATGAGGTCCGAAGAATTAGCGTGCTTAGAACTGGGGTAATTAGGACGACGTATTATCAGGCTGAGACTGCCGGCGAAGAGAATTTAACAGCAGGAGAAGACGAAAGCACTCTCCCTTCGAAGGATATTGATACTCGGCCCGCGAATCGCATGGGGGTGGCAGGGAGGATTGCGAGGTATGGGAGGGGGTTCCTTAGGTCAAGGAATGCCGGAAGGCCAAGGAGGGAGTAAGGCGAAGGATGTATTCGGTCGGGTTTATTTTTTCTTTTCTGTAGGTTCCTCCGTATCGGGGCCAGGTTGGGTGGCGGAAGGAAATTTCTTTTGCTCCGATAGTACCACTGTAGGTTTGCTCTTGAAGTACGAGGTAGAATTTGAAACTAGTTTCACCAAGCTTTGTCTTGCCGGCTGTTTCCATCTTGAAAACCTGAAACACACCTGGCTTCTTCGCTTTCAATGTTTCAACCCAAGAAAAGCCCATCACTTTCTCCACATATATGCTCCCTATTCTTTATGCCACCTACCATTCTGTTGGACCGGCACACCAACACCACAGCCGTCAGTGGAATTTCGCAAAGCCATCTCTTTCCCATGGAATCGCCTCCCAAATATCAAACGCCGACACCATTGTCCACTTCATCAAGCCAGCCGACATCGATCCTGCGCTCCACGGAGAATCATAGATCACCCGAAAAGAAGTCCGTCCACTTCTGCATTGAAAGCCCCCCAGCGGGTATGTCTGGCGGAAAGAAATACGGCAGAGACCTGGTTATGGGCAGCGAAAACCAAAACCAACACCCCAGACGGATTTTGATGGGTTGCCTTGTTGTTGGATTTGGATTAGCCTTGACTGCGATAGTTGTGGGTGGCAATTTATGTTTTCATTGGTTCCGGAGTGTGATGGAGAGTTGAGATTAAAGGACGGAGCTCGGGGTCTGGCCACGTGTGAGAAGATTGCACAAAGGCTCTAGTAGAGGGTATCTAGAGTCAACCTTTTCTGAACTTGTGGGCAATAATCAACCCGTCTATCTTTCCCCATATTTTCCCGAGACTACGTAGTCGCATCGTGCCGTGAGTGGAGATGATGATGCTCATGAAACCAAGATTTACCTTATCCAATGGAGGTAAATTTGGCGAAACAGAAAGGATGAGGGCATCCATCCTTCCCCCCAAAATTACGTTTCCTCATCCAGCATATCATAGCTAGAAAGTATCTATCAGATCGAGCTCAACTTAGCTTATTACTCCAGGATTTCTAATAGATCAAACGGCCCATCAATAAAGTTCACTAACTCGAGCCCAAGCCCAGCTACAGCCCGTTAAAACCCAAGTTAGAACCCACGCAATTTTTTACAATTTTCAAAAGAAGACGAAAGTGGGAATCACCCACCGCCCACCAAGCCCCCCTTCGTGCTCCAATTATCCTCACCAGAGTCAGCTTGGTGACCTGAAAACATTCACCTCTAGGAAGTAAAGCCAGTGAACCCAGGAGCCAGACCCAAGACCCAGTTTATTTAAATGTCAATTTCACAGACTTTGACAATAAGGAGAAACACTAAAGGAGAGGCAGCAGTTTGGCGGAAGACAAATAAGAGAGGGGTACTGTGGCTCAGCGGGGGAGGGGGAGGGGGAGGGAAGCGTAGTAGTCATAGGAAATGATATGAGTGGGGCACGTGTACCGGAAATTCTCTCAGCCATGGAATAAGGTGTTTGAACTCTCCCATAGGTATCGCACCTAGATAAGGTGCATCTACTTGCAGCTCACCCGAGCCAAGCGCCACCAGCCCTCTGTACGGGCCCTTTTTGTATGAAACATTACTGATGCGAGAACTTGAGTAGAGGGTCGGGTGAAATTTCATAACGGTTTTCTGGTTGAGAGCTAATAGATTGCGTGCCCATCACGAGGGATATGGCAAGTGCCAGAAAACCGGTGTATTTGCTTCTGCTATACATCCGGGAAACAAAAAGCGCGCCAAAAGGAAGGGCGGAGATTAAGATTGTCTAACCAGACGATGTACACATTTATTGATGATACGTGTCAGTGGTGTGAAATAGAGGAAAGGTACGGTATATAAGGGTCTTTACACAGGTTGTCGGAAGATAGAGAGATCGGGGGATACTTAATACGTTAGTAAAGAGTAAGATAAAAATTCTGGGAAATATCCCGACAGATACAAAGCTTGCATCCCTAGATTGAGCCCCTGCTACGCCATTTCATTCGTGTTCTGCGTCCGCACTATCCACATCCACTAGATATATCAGAGTGCTGCGCAGGAGAGAATTGCGGAAAGCGCTCCCAAGCACTAGCCATGGTACTTGCACGTTTCAGCGCCCCCAGCGAGGTCGGGGATAAGGAGGCAAAAGGAGGAACTGAGCTGTAGTCGAAAGCCAACTAGACCGCACCAACAACCCCTAACAATTTCCCCAGGTGTTTTGTGATTGGCGCTTAGACTGAATAAAGTGGATACTTGATAGGTACGAGAAGGTTTGGATACGTTAGCAGAACCGCTGCCTCTCTTGAACTAGTTAGCTCTCTCCATTTAGGTTGGCCGTGATGTGATGCTGGAATATGGTATCTCCTCCAAAGAATATGGATGTATTTAACTGGCCAGCCCCAAATAACTGTTCCACAACTTCTTGCCAGTCATTCTAGCTCCCGCTGCTCTACCATTCTCAACACCTACTGTACTAAGTACTAGAGGTAGGGAGATCAACCTGGGCGAATCAAATGATTGATTGCATCTCTTGTATTGCCTCCGGAGGAGCCTGGAGAGAAGGGAAAAATTGGTGTCCAAGATGCTAGAGCCGGGATATTGGGAACGAATTGCGTTGATGTTGCTATCCGGGGGCGAACGTCCTCAAGTAACTTGGCCCTGTGTTTACTATGCAAAGGAAGGCTACGGGTGACTACTTCTCCCCCGGGCAGCCACAGAGGTCGCCTAGTCAAACGGGATCGATAACTCCAAACGGCAGTCAATGTGTATTTCCGCAGCCTAGTTTCGCTTCAGTCTAACCGACACCTTCTCCTGTCACTTTTAGCACCCCTTCCCGACCTCCAATACTTCTCAGCAGGATTTACTGCCCCTACCCTCTGCCCTCGGAGTGATGTTACACTAGGGGGGGAAGCTGGGTGCTATCTGTGGATGGCCGGCTGTCCAAGGTGGAAAACCCTTCCTCTGGTTTAGGGGGTCGCGGGAGTGCCTTCAGCCGGATTTTCTGAGTGATATTCACACCCACAATCTGTGGAACGGAGGTGAGTTTGATTCCTGATGCGGGAGAGAACAATTAGAGCAATTAGAGCCATTAAGCGAGAGGGGACAAATATGAAGATCTGCACCAATATCATATCGGTTGTAACCGCTACCGCCGCAGGTTGAGTCTGGGGGAAGCCGAACCTCTATGGGCGTCCTATCAACAGGGCTGAATAAAGAGAATGGTAATTTTCTATTAGAGTTTTTCGCGTGATATCACCAATATAATACCAAAGTCGCACTCACTCGGGAGGAGGGGAGGGGGCAGGTGACGAGGTAGGTTTTATTAATAAATTTACCTCGGTATGGCAGTAGGATGCAGGGCCAAGGCATTAGCGAGTTCCGTCAGGTGATCCAGGTTAGCGGGTACATATCATATCAGTCGCGTGAAGAAAATTGTGGGACAACACACGTTTTGCACCCAAATACTGAGTTTTCGCACATCAATATCAACATAGATTTTGGCATTAGGGTGAAAATAATTTCATACACTCATCCTATTGCTTCTCCACTTTACTTCTCTACCTTTTGGGAACATAGATATCATTTCTACTTCACTAGTTAAGTTGAGTAGGCCTGGAACCTGAAAATATACTAGTTTCTACACCAAATAATCCCTGTCTGGCAGTGCTGCAGGAGGTAATTTGGAATCCAACACTTATGGATGGGGAATCATTTGACGGGAACTTTCTAAAACCTCTGTAAGTAATGCCCTATGATATTTGAAGCTAGCTATGCAGTGGTTTGTATTTTAAATATTTTGGAGGAGTTGATGATTATTCCGAATACGCAGTTTTTTGGTGGGGAATGCCGTTGTCCCACAATTTTCTTCACGCCACTGATATCATATCTACAGTAGCTAAGTTTAAAAGGTGTCGCAACCAGACAATACCTTGGGGGCTTACCCAGAGCCACAATGGAATATTTAGCACTGGGGTAGAGTGTCAGTTGATGCGCCAATTGGGCGTCCGGAAGACAAGTTCTCTATGAGCCACCGAGGGTGCCACCGAGAGTTCGGGGGACAATCTAGAATATGTAATATACCGGATAAAGATATCGAGCCCGTGAAATATGCTCAAGTAGACCATCCATTTGTCTCGGCCAGGGCACAACGGTCCGTACTTGCTGTTGCAAGAGGTTCGGCATGGGCATTATTAAACTTCTGGTGATAGTGTTCCTAGAATTTGGGAGTATGATAGGAGCGCTTGTCAATAAGGAAGCATATAACTTTGTAGAAGTGATGTCATGCCCGAATAATTACTTTCTCCGCACAGAGGTGCCTGGGGTGGAATGGTATATTTCATATTTCAAGCGAGATTGGAATATCGTCAATGTTTGCCGGATGAAATTTCCTATCGGGCAGGTACAAGGCACAGGGGGAGGGTGTTTTCGCACACACTACTTTGTGACCTCACCAATTTTCTAATGTTTTTTGCTGGTCAGCCACTTTGGTGTGTGCGAAATTACCCCCCCTGGTACTTGTATGGCCCTAGTTCTTTTACGGAAACCTAACCTTAAGCCATCGATACTGTATTCTTTCGACGTTACAAGTCCATTAACATGGTGAGCTGGGGTGTGTGCTTTGTTGAGCTGGAATTCATAATAGAGAGTTTGCGCAGGTAGACCTAGGTGGGAGTTATCAACGGTGTCACTAGGGGTTGCCACTCGCGTGAACAGCCCATCAAACTCCCGACAATTGTTGAGTTTCTTAAATTCCATGTAATTAGGAGGTCAATCTATCAGCCAATTCTTAACTTTCATGAAGTTTCTCTTCTCAGGATTGTCCTTGAGAAGAATAGCTACAAAATCATACCTGAATAGAGGCATAAAAGTGCAGTTCAAGTGGGCATTTGTGGTCCTCAATTCCGGGTCCGATTTTCGGGTTTTTACACCTTGACCAGGTGGGACCTAAGAACCAGGTGGCCAAGCCTTATTGTTAACTTATATTAACACCACCTAGGTCTCACTGCGCAAACTCTCTAATGTCTTCTCGTAGTTTGTTGTGTTCCACCCACTTGTCCTTGTGACTTGAGTTGAGGATTTGGGATAAGCGAAGCCCGCCTCTTGGCATTCCCTTTACAGCAAGATTTACACATTGGTATGAGACCGACCAGAAGTTCTGTGCTGCTCGTCTCTCCCACAGCGGTGGGAGCTGCTGGGGGGACTCTGGAACATAGAATTCGGCGAAAGTATCTCATAATCCCAGTCGGTAATGAGGGGTTGATAGGTGGAAGTTATCTTGGAAGTAACTAATATCTGTACAGTGAAACCTCCGATAACTCCACCCTCCGATGTTTACAGGTCTCCGGTATTTCTATCATTTGTCGGGGACAGGTTTCGTTCTATGGGCTTTCTTCCTCTAAGTTCTAGGGTTCTATTGGTTTCTCTTTCCAGGCGGTAAATGGCTCCTAAATTCCAGGTTTCATGTGCATAAAATCCTTTTTCATGTCACCTCCTGGGCAAAGCTGTAGACAAATTGCCAGATAACTAGATAGTGAGTTGAATGGATATGCGTGTTTTTAGAATAAAGGGTCATCAGATGGAAGGGGTGTATTATTTTTCCGGAATGTAAACATATGGAGTTAAAACCTGTACGCTTTCATGAACTATCACTCATTTTTCTCTCAACTCCCCCCTTTATTCTGCCAAGCTTTTCCTCTATTTTCCATCCCCCCTCTACTTCCAAGGAATCCAGTCTCCCCACGTCCTGGAGATAACGGAGGTTTCACTGTAACAGCAACCGCGATAGGGGCTAGGGTAAATACGGGTAGATCCCGGCTTGGCATAAAAGCCTAGATGCACTTGGTTCGCGCAACGCCGGTACAGTACCGCGCTGTGAGACCATGAGGGGGGTGAAACGATTTGCTCGTTTTCGTATGAGTAGCTGGCGTGAGGCCTTTAGCCTACTCGAACACGGGTAATCACACCTAGCTCATGGGAATGTGCATAGTTGGCGGGAAGCTTTCCTCTGCATTTCAACTAAGTTAGAGATACCTGTTTATTTCCTCCTGGGCACTACTATTTTCTCCCTTTCCTCCGCCCCTCTTGTCTTTCTGGGGATGATTGGTTGCTTTTGAGAGATAGGGGCTAGGATGATAGGTATAAAGGAATCTGATTGGATGGGTTATGGGTTGCTCGACGCTCGGACCGCACTTTTTGGTGAGCACGTTGCTGGTAGTACAGTATCCTTAGTTTTCTTTGGCTCTCATCTGGTTCCTCCAAGTTTTGTGTGTGTAACACGAATTATGCACCCTAAAAGGCCAGTTACGATAATTTCTGTGAAGCAAAAAGGGTTGTCGTGCTCTTAGCACAGGGGCTGGAGGAAACACCGTTCTCCCGAGTGTCAAGAAGGTTGACAGGCTTACACTTCATACTGGTACTTGATAGATTTTTGATACTTGGAATATGGTAGGGGTTGGCGGGTATCACCTCGGATACGGGAATATTGCACTTACAAAAAGTGGGGTAGGCTGCTGCACGACGTACGATAAGACAATGAGGGGAAAAATGGAAACAACATCTCACATCATGTCACAAATCAGGACAATTCCGTCGTCTCAAGGGCCAACCCCTGGCGCCCAGCCACACCAACCTTCAAGCTCTCGTAGCTTCACCGGAATTAAAGACTGGTAGAAGAGGGTTTAACATCGAGGTGGGGCAGAGGTCGAATAAAACGCACTACGTCCCTGCTCTGAAAATATCGTTTTTGGGAGGAGGGAAAGATCAAAAGTAGGGCCCTGGTAACAATACTGGGGAGCACCCTATGGTCGGTTAAACAGATATGTCGAAAGGGCGAGCACCATGCGAGCCCGATCCTGCGAATCGGGCCGATTGAGCGTTTTCGAGAGGAGGGGCATCCATCCAAGGATCTCTCCCTGCGGTATCAGTATCCACTGTTCCCCGCTATTTGGTAATCTCTCAACTAGCCATCGCAGTCAGCTCATTTAAGTGCAGGAGCTACGCGATGTACATCGCGGCTATACATGAAAGCGACCAATTGAGCTACCACAGATCCATCCAATTCACAAAAATCCCAGTCTCTTATTCAGATCTAGGCCAGGCTCTACAGCATTACATCTTCGAGCACAGATCGTGAGTGTGATCTACGCTGAGCTGGGTGTTAAGGGAATCTGCTGACTTATTGCGCCACCCCCTTATATACCGTACCCCCCCGGCAGGGGGCAAATAGAGAGCCAGACATATATTCATTACACAAAGTTATGGGATTTCAGTTGGGGGCACATGTCCGGATGCCATTACCCATACCGCAGCAACACAAAGTTGAACCCTCATCCTTGTGTAACGCGGCATATGCAGGATCCTAGAAACGGAACCATATTTCGTACGTAGATCGTTAGGAATATGGGCCGATATCAGGTTTTTGGGGCTATCTTAGTTCAGCAGTGCAGAACGTATTTGACGCCGCGGGAGTCGTAATCTATCGTCGCGGCCTTGAATATGGGGCCAACTTGAGATGTTAACAAACTCCCGGGTACGGGCTTTGGTTCATTTGCCGGGCTTCACTTGAGCAGGAGTTGCTTCCAGCTAGATTCCGTACTCCAATGTCGTGTTTCGCGTCTTATTTATAAATGGGCCAGTATATTTTCTACCTCCTCGGATCTTCTCTCGCCTGGGCATTCTTCGTATTTAAGCACCTACTCTCCCCCGTCTCTAGGCCCGCTTTCCAAGCTCTTCTTCCTCCCTTACCTCCCCTTTCAGTGCTCTCCGCCCCCTCGTCTCACCTTTTCCACACCTTTGACACTCCTTCCATTCTGAGGAGTAATCATGGATGACCCTATCAACTTCATCACCGCGGAGGAATACTATCGGGGGGCCCAAGGTTGGACAGGGCCTACTAAGATAGTTGCACTTTCTCAAGTGCCCCCAACCACTGCTGCCCAGCCAAAGTACTGGCACGGGGTAACTCTTACTTTTGATGATCAAACTCTTTGTGTTGTTCAATTTGTTCGCCCTACCCTCTTCAGAGTTCGATATGATCCTGCTGTTGGAAGCCCGGAGGAATATGATGACGCAAACAGGTAAGTCTGAACCCCGGATAGTGGTTGGTGATAAATACATACTAATCATGCCTTTTACGCCGAGGATATAGTCGCACAATAATTGAGGACTATATGTCCCAGCTTGTTCACGATTTGGATACCTTCCTAGGCATCACTTGGACTACTAATCTTGAAGAGTCAGCAGATCAGAAGTATTGGATTTTTTCGGTGAGATTCGGTTCTTGTCGTTGGATACTTGCCTAACCCACGTTTACGTTAGTCAACTGTCACGGAGGTAGACAAAGAGGGAAAGGAGCAATATTATAAAGTCGGGGATGGAATGAAACTTTTCCTTCACAAAGACCCCTTCCGTATCCAGGTGCTAGCATGATTGCCCCTTTGTTCCTAGCTGTGTACTTACAAGTGATACGGCAGGCGGTCCGAGTGCTGACACCTTTGCCCGACCTCTACCCACTCCCGGAAACACCTTCAACAAGCTCGCGTGCAATCGAGAAGATCGTTTGGCAAACCTCCCCAAGGACCTTCCTCTGGAATGTCCATCCAGTAGTTTCGGTTGTCAAGCAGGTTGTTTTAGACGTTATCAAGGCTGGGCATGGTGAGTTTATTGGCTTTGGGGAGCAAGGAGGCACTAGCTTCATGAAAACCCCAACCTTTATGAACTACTTCAGTTAGTAATTCCTAGGATAAGACCTGAATAGATTATATTTAACATTACTAACCGGGAACCTTGGCAGATTTTGACAACATGCAGTACCAGCAGGTGTATAGCAGAGGCCCTCTGGATGCCCGGGAGCCTTTGTAGGTATTCCCCTTTCGGGTCGGTGTGAGCTTGCAAACTTACACATCTCGGGCCAGATATCACTCTGACCCCTTTTACATGGACGTGAATTCAAACCCAGAACACGCAAACGTTACAGCAAGCTTCTTGGATAACTATTCTCAAATAGCTGTCGATTTCGGGTTCACCAATTCTGGTTTCATCAAGCTAGGAACCAGATTTAATGCGATGGATATCTACGTGATCAGTGCCGACACAGTGCCAGAAATTACTCGGTTAGCCTGCCCAGCTCCCCGCCAAGACTCTCCTTTCCCCTTCTAGTATTCACTGACCTTCTTCTGTACTATCAGGCTATATACTAGCATTATAGGAAGGCCGAAACTGAAGCCGAAATATGTTTTAGGTCACCACCAAGCTTGTGAGTTCGCAGAAATTACCTTTCACTCTCTCTTTATGGCTTAATTTTCACTCCCCTAATGCTCGGAGCGTTTCACTAGGTTACGGGTATGAGAAGGTGGAAGATCTTTACGCTGTGGTTGACCAATACCGCGGTGTCGGCATCCCTTTGGACGGACTGCATATCGATGTTGACTTCCAAGTATACGGGCTCCCCGGAACATTGGAAGGAGTTATTTGAGTTACTAACTCTTGTTTTTTTTGTAGGATGGGTTCAGAACCTTCACTACCAACCCGAAAACCTTCCCGGACCCTAAGGGAATGTTCGCGGAACTTCGGAAGAACGGTATAAAATGCTCTACCAATATTACCCCTGTCATTAGTATCAATGACCGGGAGGGTGGCTATTCGACTCTAAGAGAAGGGTTAGAAAAGGGGTAAACATTGATCACCTGCCCGGAAGTTTTGCTAGGAGGCTCCACCTTCAATAGAGCGAGATGTTCGAAGCTAATACCATGCCGCCCCGTAACTAGTTATTTCATCAAAGATAGGAGATACACCAATGGGACTAGTGGAAAAGCGGAGGACGTCTTGTACGTTTGCTACGGTGGAGGCTCGAGATACACTATCGACCCCAAGGATGTCAGTATAAGGCCGGACTTCAGGGATAACTAGTATGTCTATTCAGTCTTTCTGTGTTTCTACCTACCTACTTCTAGAAGCTAATCCTGCGGTGTAGTGATTTCGTGGCAAATTGGAATGTCAAGGATTATCCATATCACGGTGGTGTAAGCTATGGATACGGTAACGGTACGGTAAGTAACACTACCGTGTAGTGCACAGGCGAGCGAACAGGTTTTGATTTTCCATCCAGGCCGGATATTATCCCGATCTAAATCGAAAAGAAGTCCGAGAATGGTGGGGCAAGCAATACAATTACCTCTATGACATGGGTCTTGAGTTTGTATGGCAAGACATGACTACACCCGCTATCCATACGTCCTATGGCGATATGAAGGGGTAAGTAGAGAGAAAAACTCTTCATCTACTTCCCTTTACTAACGACTCTATGTTTTTTGGGATAGGCTACCCTCACGTCTGCTCATGAGCTCTGATTCTATTTCATCAACGGGAGCAACTAAAAAGACTGCAGCCGAAATTTGGGCTCTGTATTCTTACAATCTTCACAAAGCAACTGCTCACGGTCTGGACACTTTGGAGCAATTACTTCCCTTCCGCAAGAACAAACGCAATTTCATTCTTGGGCGCGGAAGCTTTGCCGGAATGTATCGCTATGCTGGGCTCTGGAGTGGAGACAATGCTAGCACTTGGGAATTCTGGAAGATCACGGTTTCCCAGGTGCTCTCAGTTGGCCTAAATGGCGTCAGTATCTCCGGGTCTGATATGGGGGGGTTTGAGCCCTATTTTAATCCTAGCACTGGGCAAGAAGAAAAGTATTGCAACCCAGAATTGTTGATCCGCTGGTATGCTGGATCTTTCTTGCTCCCTTGGTTCAGAAACCACTATGTCAAGAAGACCAGAAAGTGGTTTCAGGTATTGAAATCCCTATTTGTGATTGCGTACTCCTGAATTCTTCTGCAGCTAAGCAAGGATTGTCATCAAAAGGAACCCTATGCATACCCTAAACATCTGGCACAACACCCGGAGTTGGAGCCCAAGGAAGGGTGGCTATATCGTGCGGTTCAGGGAATCTGCAAGTACTATGTCGAACTCCGATACTCCCTCATCCAAGTTCTCTATGACGCCATGTTTGACAACCAGATCAACGGGCTTCCTATTGCAAGGTCCATGGTATGTCCCCAAGTGTTTTCTTCAATTAAACGGGCCTTATTCGCGGTGTGGGGCTTCTAACGAGATTTCTGGAATCCTAGCTCCTGACAGATACCCAAGACACTTCATTCTTTAACGAGAGTCAGAGGTTTCTGGACGACCAGTATGTTGTTCGAAAGGATATTCTTGTTGCCCCAATCATCAAAGGGAGCCATGAGAACCCTGGCCAAAATAGAGATGTTTACCTTCCATTAATGTACTTCTGGTATCCATCCAATTTGAGGCCGTGGGATGACCAGGGTGTTGCTCTCGGTTCGAGGGTCGAAGGAGGGAGCGTAATCAACTATACTGCAAGAATCACAAATGAGTATAGTAGCTATCCGTTTGTTACACCCGTTTATCTTAGAGAGGGTAATGAATTTATATTGATTCTCCCTTAGGACCCAGAACTGATATTGGGGACAATAGGTGCTATTATTCCACAGGTTGGAGTCAGACAATGGATCGGAGACCTCAGCGGTGGTCCAAACCGCATGAAGATAAATATCTATCCCGGGAGAGACAATGTATGACCCCCCCGTGTCTAATGGTCGTACGTTAACAGTTTTTCTCCCCCCAGGAGTACATAACATATCTCGACGATGGCGTCAGTCGCAGTAGTGCCCCGGATGATCTCTTGCAATACCAGATAAAGGCTGCCATGGCCACAGCTAGAAAAGAAACGGATATCGGGTCTTCCGACTCGGAGGCTAAGGGTGAACACCGCTCTATATCAATCTCACAGGTTGTAGCCACCTTTTAACGTTTTGGGGATTCAAATTGACATCTCTCGCGTTTGACAGACCACCACACAGCCAATTTCAACTAGTTCCACTCGCGCAGTCACTATTACTCCGGTTCACAGCAACTACAATCCCGCTGCAGAGTTAGGCGAGAAGTATACTATCATCCTTTGGTATGATCCTGGGGTGGACGTATCTCGGCTTAGGGTATCTGTTAATCCCGCGACTGGAGTTGAATATGATATTTCCAGAAACACCACATTGCGCACAGTTGTGGTTGACATTAATGAAACTATTGGAAATTCTCCCAAGATTGTCATATCTGTTTCACCCTAAGGCATTTGAAATCTTGTAACTTTTAGTTGGGTTTGAAAGCGGTTTTTATTACTTCCTTTTTCCGGGGGATGAAATAGTTCGGAATAAATTATTGTTACAAGGGAAAAGCTTCACAAAGTGTTTACTTGATCCTATTAATTCCAATAGTGACACACTTGCAAAGATCGTGTCGGTTGGGGGTAACAGATTGATTATTCAGCCTCCCGGAAAGTAGGTTGCAATAGGGCCAGTGAAGCTAGCACCACTACACCAATTAGTTACGCAGGTGCGCTTAGTTTATGATATGGTGCCATTCATTTAAAATGTCCACCTGAGTCCATGCAACATGTAACACTCAACCGCCCTAGAAATTAACCCTAACAACTAAAAGCAGCCGCATTGCTCCATACTTTCTGCAGAATTTAGAATGAGATCATATGATTAACACAATTTAATTCTTAATATGCAATAATCCAAATACACTAATATGGGAATACCATGCAAGGACTAGTTCAATCAGGGAAGCTTATCACAATTGAGTTGTATATGCATCCATAGTGTATGAGGAACTTGTATAAGGAAAGTACTATACAAGTCCTATGGGTATATTACTATGGGTAGTAATACAGACTTGGAGTTGAGTCAGACTTTTTTCTTTGTAGTATTTGTTCTTGATATAATTAAAAATAAGAACTGATACAAAGTAAAATTAGATCCTACAAAGATAACAATATAATTAAGAAAACCATAGAAGAAAATCATAGAAGAAAGTAGTCCCTGCACCTTGGAAGTATTATGAATCAGGATAGGGTTAATTTCTAGGGTGGTTGAGTGTTACATGTTGCATGGACCCAGGTGGACGTTTTAAGTGAATGGCACCATATCAAACAAGAGCCCACAATAGCCCTCTAGCCAAATAGTATACAAACTGACAGCTCCGAGTCCACTCGCCAACGTGCATTTCCCTACCCCTGGCATCCTCATTGAATATTTATTTGTTGCCTTGGTCCTTGAGCTATGATCCCGAATGCTGGATAACATGGGCCCAACAAACTCGAAATATGACTTCTTTGAGAACCGCGTATAGAGATCTCGGATACGTCTGTTTTATGGGTGCCCATTTATCCTTCCCTCGCAGAGGGCCTAGGATTTCCACCGGGTTGAATCCCGGTCCTTTTTAAACCCGTTGGGGCTTCCTAGTCCAGAATATCATTTCTGTTTCCATGCCATATGGCTGGGGCTGGGCCATTATCCAGTTTCCTCTAATTTTTCGACATCACTCCGGAGGTTAATGGTACAAGCGCCCCAATTTAGTCCCGATCCAGCCATCCTAGTGTCATTAGATTTAATACTAGTACAGCGGGAGGTGGTGTTAGTATCAACAACCTGCAAATAGTTAGGAAAAAATATCATAGGGGTGGGGGATTTATTCTCTCTTTGATTTTAGGGCAAAATAAAAACCTTGGAATTTCAAAATTAAGCAGATCCCGTCCTTACAGCGACCTTGATGCAGATACTTTTAGAAGTAAAGCATGAGTATCTACCAACATTGAGTACCAGAAAATTTACCCATCCCCCTATCTGTCTCGGGCATCAGCCGGTGACTCCATGGACAGGGCCTCGGCAGGAGTTTTCGGCTCCCTAGTTCTCTCAGACCCGATCACATTCGCCACTAGCCCGTCTGTAGAGGTCAAGTTAAAGTTAACCACAAGATCTAAGGGAACCCTTCTCCACGCCCCCGAACTCTGGGGGTACCAGTGTCATTAGCCCCTAGTACCAATCGATTCGTTCTCTCCTCTGTATCGCATAGCCCTAATTCCGGATCATATCAAACACTAGTATCTCTCGAGGAGAGAGAGAGATATTCGAGGAGATTACAATCAAGATTCCCTTCCCTTCCCCATTGAATTCATTCTGAGAATTCAGTTCTGACAGAAACCTGAGGGGGGGGATCTAGCCCTAGTTTCCGATATTCTCGATTTGGTGAGCGGGTAGATTTCCCGACACGCTTGGCGACGTTGCGAGCGCTACTTATTATTACCGTAATGGGATGATAGGTGTAAGTTATGGGAGACTTTAGGGGTGCAGACAGTGTTCCCAACCGTCCCGGCCCCCGCTGAGCCCTACCGGGAAACGGCCAAGAGCCCCCGACCATATGGGATTGCATATCGTAGTCCGTTCAAGGCGGTAATTTGGCAGGACGGCTGTATTTGGGTCAGGCGGCGGGCCTTGCGAGGCAAGGGACGTGCGTATCGGGATCTCTAGGGAGATGTGGGGGATGAGTAAGGACTGGGGATGATTGTGGGGGGCGGTAGGAGAGTGCGGGGGACTGCGGAGGACTATAGGGGAGTATGGGAGAGTACTCCCTTGGGCAATGCAAGCTCCTAGCTTTTCTGTCCTAGGTTAATCGTTCTTGTGTTCTTATACTACAGGTCCAATTGAGCGAGAAGCTGCTATCGCTACAGATATCTCCACGAAGCATACGGCGGGGACGAATATACCGGTCTGGCGATTGCCCTATGCTAGTGGCAATGAATTCTGTTGAAAAAAGCGGGGTGACAAGCTGAGAAGGCTTGTGGAAAGAGACACCAGAAAAGACTTCTCAAGCGTGACATATTTCACAGCTTGTTCCTACCCTTGGTTGCCAAAACGGCATGACTTTGGTGGAGTTTAAAATTCATGTTCTCATGCGATGTTGGAATATCGCTTGGGTACCCGCAGGCTTGTCCAAGTATTTGATTAAAATAGTGTAACCCAGACTATCGATACGGATTAACCGCTGTGAGACAGGGGGGTGGACTTCTGGCACACTACATGGACCTTCGTCAGCAGACCGTCTTTTTTATTCACTATAGATTCCCCGGCATTCTTTGTGGGATTTTTGTATTTAGCATGCATGTTCAGATCCGGGAAGGAGGGGGAAACTGAGGGAGGAAGGACGATACACAGTGCCAATGTTGAGGAAATGTTTTTTTGATTTTCTTTCTTGAGACAGTTTGCCCTGAGAAGAGTCGGTTCCCGGTCAGGTTGAGAAATAGAACACCGTGCCCGGAACAGGACTTCAATATTCTCCCCCCTGCAATCTTTCAACACTTTCTGAAACACCACTCCAGTCAGGGGGAGATCTCACCAGTATTACTGATAGCAGTTTGGTTTGTCCGGATAACGGTAGTCACCAGGGAAACTACATGCACTACAAAAGAACCCCGGACCAGAAAGCAGCTGATCACCCCCTAGCATACAACTCAATCCCCACTAAAATTCCTGGCACCCTTCCGGGGGCCAGGAGTTGGACTATGCAACATGACCACCAAAAGGCGCCTCCCTATCGAGCCCTTGGGGGCGTACTGATACCAAAGTTCATTCCGCATTTGCTCTCTTGGCTTCTCCAAATCACTGGGAATTTCTCTGAATTATTATGCTTTTGGTAGAGCGACCTGATACACCAAAAACTGCAGTGCTTGGAATGAAATTGTTTCGGGGTTGGCATAATTCAGTGAATGATACTAGAACGAAGCAAGGTCCGGTGTCATGCGTCCTACCCAAGGCTCGCATTCAAGAAATATACTTTGAGGTACGAGTACTTGCATGGTACTCGAGCACTCGTGTGGACAACGCTCTCTAAGGAAATCTTGGCATTCAATTCGCACCCTCCGGATGCTTGGTCATGTTTTGAAATCACCAGGTCTGCTTTCCCCCCATAGCCCATCCAGTCCTAACACTCTGTGGCATAACACCTCCTAGTGCCTCCGGAATGACGGATCACAACCCGCTGTCCGTCCCGTCCTGCCCTGAAGATGGACTAGATGTTTGGGAACATTAGGCGCAGACGAGATTGTAGATCCACCGGTCGCCCAGGATGATATCTCATGCTCAAACCACCCCATGTACCATTGCAGTATTGAGAATCTATTTAGGAGGGTTGTGAGTTTTACTCTCTGAGCGTGTGCGAACTGAGCAGCCAGAAAGGGGGCTCAGGTGTCACATTTGGCATTTTGTGCTGATCACACCGCGGGCCTAGAGAGTCAACGCAAAAGTTTCTCGACAATGTGAGTAATCTCGAGGGAAGCAGAGCCATTTCTTGGTAATTCACCAGGTATGGTATACTGTGTGAAGTTTGAGCGAATCGACCGAGAAATGAGGGGGGAAAGCAGGAGGGAGGTTCGCAGAATCATTTTGATATTATAAGAATATCCTCTACAGTCTGTATAACGACTAGAGCATATGTGAGCGGCGTCGATTCTGAGAAGAAAGTGTGAGCCAGAGGTGTTATTATATGATACGTAGGAGATATCGGTAAGATTACAGGTTAAATTTGATTTTTCTGAGCTAAATTTGAACTCATATGATAGCCATTAGGTCTAGCGAAGGCGCCCAGTATGATAGAATGCACTATTCGGCTTGCCCTACTCAAGTTGGATATCGTGTTTACATCTAAATCCGTAGGGATATGATTTTTTTAAATAATATATTTCTCGTGTTGGACGATCGCCTCCACATGCTTGAATTCACTTGCCTACCCAACCTAAACCGCGTCCGGGACTAAATAATCTAACTTCATATCCTCTAGGCCCTCATGGTAGCCAAAAACTAGCCGGGGCAGATCTGAGCTCAAGAAATCCAACTACGGGGGCCTCTGGCCGCAAGCGCCATTGAAGTCGGACCTTAAAATTTTGGAACCTCAATTACTTGTCCTCTTTGAATTGGACCACACCCAGTAACCCCAAAGTATACAATCACAAGGAGAAGACCATTATGGAGCCTTGTTAGGTTAGACAGCCTTAAAATCTCCAAGCCTCAAAACTACTAAAAGAACCAGAACATAACCTCTCGGCGTGCAAGTCTGAGTATCATATGTGGAGGTAATTCAAGAAAATGTGCCCGGATGACACCTCCGGTATGTCACCCCGGTCAATTTTTTTATCAACCTAATCCCAGAAATCGCGGGCCTTTGCGCGTGGAGCCACTCTGTCATAAAATCTCCTAAAAAAAACACGACCAAAATAAATTGATTTAGTTAATCCACTTGATTGTTCGAGCCCGTGTCGTACTTAATGGGAAGGAGGGCAAGCAGCTTGTGCTCTACATACGATTTATATCCGTCGTCAGGAAAAACGATGCGTGTAAGCAAGGCTTCACGCGCTGCTTCCTTTATAAATTCAGCTTGGGGCTTCTTTCCACGCTCAAGACCGGACTTTGGGAATCTCTTCGGGTGATTGTCCACTATCGGGACCGCCCCAGCAGCAGGCAAAAATTGGCCAGCAGGGTGATTTCCAGTCGAAAATTTATCTCTTCTCTCGAGAGGTTCCTGATACTGAGCTTTTGGTTCGATATCGTCTTGTTTGGATCCCTTGGGGCGAGCCGCGGCAGTAGGACTTTTGCAGCATTCGGCTGCCATAATTTCCAGGTACGGAATGAGGCTGCTAGTGCTGTTGGTCTTGTATATCGCAGCAGACTGTGAAGTGATGTCTTCCGTAAACCTCTGGGGCCCCTTGGTTGCCACAGAGTGATGGCGATGCCATGCGGATGTAAGGTGCAAGCTCTCAGTATCGTGGTGTTGTCCAACTATGAGGCTGGGCCTGATATTCTCCTCCAACCACCTAGAGGCTTCCTCCAGCCTCCTATCAACATTATAAATTCCCAGACTCGAAGCAGCAGGATCACTGGCAAGATTAGATCCTCTTAAATCCCTGGGTTGCGCCGTTGGGGGCTCTAGTTGAGTTTGGGACCCATTATCAATTATTGGATATCGACCGAGTAAGTAACCGGCATCCCCCTCTTGATGGTGTAACGGAGACCTGTTATCGGCGTCTTGGAATATCTGCGAGCCCAATCCTCCCTCGGGACGGTCCCAAGACCCAAGAGACAAACAGCGAAAACTATCGGGGATGCCATTGCCGTCCCCATGACCTGGGACTGGTTGTACGGTAGAGCGGGCGACACGCCCTTCACTAGAGGTCCCTGGGCGGCGACTTAAGCGAGATATTAGCTCTAAAGGCATGCGTAAACTCGGCCGGGACAATAGGGGGTCAAACTTACAAACCGCCGGCGGGTTCCCAGCCTCCCGCTTTCTTATGACCACGAGCACGGCTACTCAATGGTTGGTTCGCGGCCGGGCCGGTATTTGAAGCTTGACCCGAATCTGCACTGCAATCACCATGCGGTCTCTTGTTGGAGGAATGGAAACCGGATCGACTGGAAGAATTCTCATGGCCACTTGCTTCACTCAGCGCACAGGATCCATTACTATGGAATCGACAAGCCCTGTTGGAAGACCGGTCAGTTTCAAATCGATTATTTTTTTGCGGGTATGGATTCCTGGTACCCCCAGGATCCATTTTAGAAAGTCTAATCCGTTAGCTTTTTGAGAACAAATCGATAATAGAAAGGGAAAGCTCTCGCAGGGTCCACACCTGTGTTTCCGAGCGGGTGCCATGCTAGCAGTACAGCTTCGGGCACCACCAGATGCTCGTGCGTTCTGTATATTTGGGGGAGGGAGTTAAGACGCACGAGGTGAAGGGAGGGCCTCCTAAATTTATCGGTCTGGGTACTGTGACTCGGATGGGTGGCGGGACCTGACCCAATTTGTGCGTGCGATTTCCACTTACCCTCGCGTTGAGTACTATGGGGCTGTAATGCCCTGATGCCTGAATCTCATGCGGTCAACTGGTCGGCGGAGGAAACTTTATCCATAGATTATCCTTTGGGCAAAAGGTAGCCGAGTGAGATACCATGACGGTCCCCACCCCGCATTGCAAGTTTTTTATCGCTGGCTGGGCCGCGGGTGGGATTCAGTTGGGTTCGGGATTTTGATAACCACGGGTAGTTAAGGACATTGGCTACTTTTTTTTTTCAAAGCTCCGTGGGTTGGCGTTTTCAACCTCACCTAGGGCTTGACAGCTACTGCTTTAGTGGTCGGGTTCTTCACCTTAGGGTCGGTATATTCTTATCTTTACCTACAAGACGATATCCAGCCGCTTGGAATTTAGACCGGCACAAACGTCAAGTCGCTCTAGTAATAACCAGGGAGGACATCAGAAGAACCAGGATGCGACCCACTAAATCTTCGCCGGTAGAGCCACCGACTCGTTGAGGGTGTGAATAAGAGTGTGGCTGAACTCCATCTTTGGCTAGTGTCTATGATACCTTCTAGAAGCCGCATGTGAGGCTGAGAGCACCGAACGTGTTAGTTTACACGGGTTTCAGAAATATTCGTATAGTATTAAAGAAGATAATCCCCCAGCACTCTTACTCGTTGGAAAACTTCACGATTGTTCTTCCCGGGTTGGGAATTCTACAACCAAGCCCAATCCATGCCCAGCCCAAGCGAAATCCGAGTTTCTCGGAAGGGCGAGAGTTTTAAGTAAATGAAATTGCGACCTGCAAAATATTTCAGGACGGGTATCCAGGAAACTCCAGTGCCTAAATCCAGATATTCAAGCTATTCCTAGATTAGACAGGACTCGCATAGCCCACACCGCCCTAGCGTGGAAACTACAACCGCCTGAGATTTCAGATCACACTATAGGGTGCTGGAGATATGCGAAGGACCACTGGCAGTACATTTAGCTTGGGAGGTATCAGACCATACGCGGATAAGGTGACTCAAGATTTTCTGGAAAATAATACTGGGTGCCGACGAATCTCTTAGCGAAGATATGTGGCAGCAGATGGGGTGAGGGTTCCTGTGATCTCATAAATATCCCCCATACAACATATGATACGGCGAGCCTTGCTAATGACTTCGATTTTCGCCGGGGAAAGTGAGAGGAAGAAAGTTTATTTGGGAAAGTTTGGGGCGGAGATCCTGAATTCTTTCCTTTCCCCTTTCCATTGCTACACATTCCGTTTGGTGATCCCCGCTCGGAGCGAAAACACTTATAGTATAATTATTCACTGTTCTGTTAGCTGCGCTAAAGTTGACTATCATCCCCTACATACAAGCCTAGTGTGCCTCCATTGAGATAAATCTTCACAAGCGCGAGATCTCCACCGTATTCTGTGCCAAGTCACCGCTGAATACAGTCCACGACCGCCGCTAAAAAGCCGTATTATCTACCTTGCCTAGTCCCACTCAAACACAACTTGGGTTTATCCAACCACAGGTGAGCATTGAACGTGGGAGAGGTAGCTATAGTGGCTACTGGAAACTAAACTGAAGGAGGTTCTGTTTTGTGTGCTACGTGATTGAGCCACATTTCCTGGGCTGGAAGCATAAAGTCACGAAAAGAGTGCAATTATGAGAATTTTATATATTAACCAACCAGAACAGCTCTGGAACCTTCTAGTAAAGCAAGGAATATAGACCCCGCAGATATTTCTAACTATATTCTGCGTCTCGAAAATCTAGACAGAAGGTCTCAAAGTGTTCATGGGTGGTTATTTTTGTCTGGTGCCTCCGGAATACCGTCCATTTTTCTCACAAATTTCCAAACGTCCGCTTAAGTAGAACACTAGGGGGTAGATCACCTGACCCCCTTGAAAAAAGCCTCTAAAAAAGAACTCTGATCAGCGCCTCCCCCACCGCAACCAAGCATGTGCAAAAGCGAAAAAGAAAAATTCGCGGTGTCATACTTACTTTAGGTGACTACCCGCCCGGGTGGGAAATTTGCGAGAAAATCATTAAGCCTGATCTTGAACAGGGCAAGTTCGGGGCGGAGGATTGTCTCCACGGGCAAGAAAAAGCTTCCCGGTTGACCCATCATTTTGATCGCTACCCTGAGGGATGCCACCGAACCCAAGAGTACCCTGAATCGTAGGGCCGTTCTTAGGTCCGGGCTGAGCCCCGCTCTCGAGAGGGCGATTCTGCTGAGATTCGGATTGGGGGAGGTATGGTGCGAAGCGGCTACAACCTGTCCCAACGCCGTTTCAAAATGTAATGCCTTATGTAATGAGGGTTAAGGGTAATAATCCACAATTTTGGTATAGAATTCGAAGCACGATAATGTGATATCTTTGATACATATTTTACTCTTCAAGATGCCTTGATTTATCCTCTGTATATATGCTTTATTATTGGTATTACTTGGGATTGTTAAATAGGTGATTTAGTCACATTTGTTAATTGAGTTTTCTGGCAAATTATTTACATGACGATGGGAAGCATACTTCCTTTTAGCAATACTCTCATAATTATCATACCAGAATTGTGGATTATTACCCTTAACCCTCATTACATAAGCCATTACATTTTGAAACGGCGTTGGGACAGGTTCTAGTCGCTTCGCACCATACTTCTGATGCTCTTCAGGGCTTGCTTGGGAAGTCGGATCATTGTCATGCTCCCCTTTTTGTTTTTCTGACCAGCTCTGTTTATGCCGCTCAGGACCGTTTCTGGACTCAACTTTCTGAGAAGGAAGGCCTGATTTTTCACCCCCCAAGAGCAGTCCTTGGGCCTGATTTCCGGCAAAAAATGCGGCCGTTTTTTAGGTTCCCCAAAACAACCAGCCTCAAGCAGCAAAAAAGGTAGTCTATTATCTCTTGGCCCTGTGTCTAGGAGAAAATCTTCGGGTTCGAGGGGGAATATCGACTCCGTATTGCGACAGAAGTCGTCCGGGCATGGTGGTGACCTCTGACCTCTGACGCTCTGGGTTACAAGGACCACTATGATCAGAAAAGCTCGTATGAACCGAAACCCCCTCTCCCCCACCCGAGTGACAAACCGCGATATACTCGAGAACTTTGTTGCCTAGCAGGGTAAATCCAGGACTCTCGGGTTACGGAGAAAGAGCACCCCGGCTGGAATTGAGTCTAGGGGAATCCTCGACGTGCTCTAATGAGAACAGGTTACCAGGAGCACAATGACCAGAAAAGCTCGCATGCTCCGAAACTCCCTCTCCCCCACCTGAGAGAGAAACCCCGGGATATCCGAGAACTTCGTTGGCTGGCAAGGTAAATCCAGGACTCTCTGGTTGCGGAGAAAAAGCACCCCGGCTAGAATTGAGTCTAGAGGAATCCTCGACGTGCTCTGACGAGGACCCTGACGGATTGTGAGCACTCTTTTTGGCGCCAAGTGGGCCTCTTCTCAGCGACAAGCTCCGAGCATCCCTATAGGTGCCGTTGGTGCTCCGGTGATCAGAGGTCCCTTGTTGGTGACTGCAGGTCAAATATTAGTTTCCAAGGCAATATACAAAACTCATGTAAGGAAATTGCCGTGATAAACTTGCCGGCGACGAATACAACCCCTACCCGGGGGCTTCTGGTGACCACCGGGACGGTGGGACCATGGTTGGCCCCTTCTCTGACGAGAGCCGGAAGATTGATACGAATCTGGGCGATACCTGTCAACTCTCCTCCGGCTGGGGGAGTAGTGATCATAGAAATTCCTGGAATCCTGGTTACCACCATATCCGCGAGAATCGCGAGATTTATTGTTGTCCGGACGTCTCCCTGAGCCGAAAGGTCGGTTAGTTCCCGATCGGCTTAGCTTATAACTGTCGTACTTCCCCGTCAAGGGAGAGCGGCGGTCACAATGACGCCTGGAACCCTTATTGCCATTTTGTTCACGGGGATCGCGAGATCCATTCCTATCTGACCAACGACCCGAGCTCGGAGGTCGGCTAGCTCCCGATCGTCCGGTATTTTGCGGATAATCACCCCCCAAACCCCCAGGATCCATATCTGATGGTCTGATCGGTTAGTCCCCGGAGTACCTGATGAACAACTATCGAGAGACGAAGCACAAGCATAATACTCACCTGTGTTTCCCAAAAGGTGCCATAACAGTAACACGGCTTTTAGTACCACCAGATGTTTGCCCGTGTTGTGTCTGAGAAGGGAAGTAAAAACAGGAGGGGTGGCAGGATCCTTCCTTACCAACCTATTTAAACTCTGTGACCAGGATCGGCAGCCAGACTTGACCTCATTTGTAAGTGCGATCATGACTTGCTTCGGGTTGAGGATTCTCTCCTCGGCACTGCTGGACGGCAATACCCCAATACTAGAATCTTATGCGGTTGATATCTCGGCGGTAATGATTTCTTACCAAATTGTCCGTGCGCACAATCTGTCGAGTGAGGGTCTATGATCAACCCCGTCACGCATTGCAACAGTAGTATCGACGGCGACGGTGCAAAAGAGAACAGACATCCTGATAGACAACACCCACCAAAATATATATTTTCTATAATTTATTAGACTGCAAAGGATTTTTGGCGGTGTAATCGGATTGCGTTCGAACTACAGTGAAGCATTTCAGCCAATTTCTACGCCCACGTATCCAAAGTAGTCCATATTTGGGGAGGATACACCTGCCACCCATTACGGTAAAAACCGAAATAACCGAGGGGTGTGCTATTTCTTTAGAGTAGCCTCCTCTGGTACGGTGTGGAGTCCGCCGTTTGCTTTTATGTCTCTCAGAGGCGCTGAGGAGCTCTTTTTTCGTGGCTTTTTTCGCCCCTTTTCCAAAGTAGGTAATTCTCGTCTACATAGCACATCACTCGATCGTTACGTTCTTATGGTAGTCTGGGCAATATACAGCACCTTTCAAAACCG